CTTACTTCACTAAAACAAAATAAAAGGAAAAGTGAAAACAAAAAAACACGACAAAAAATATATATAATGTAAAAAAAAGAAAGAAAACTAACGGCATGTCGAGCCAACTCGGCACGCCATTAATTCGCGTTATTTTTGACCAAACAGAAGAGTAAAAATATTTTGTCATGTAAAATCGATCAATTATAGAAACTTTTAAATTCACAACCCGATAAAGGAATTCTGAATCTAAGGTAATTTTAATTCACGGCTTATGAATTTTTGGGATGTATAAAGTCGAAGCGGAAAGCACAAACCTGGAAAAGCGTGTCTTCGTGCATCACTCGTTTAGGAGAAACCATTTAGAAACCTTTTTAGAAGTTAAAAACTGTTACAGCAGTTCACAGATTTATCAAAAATTTCATTTGACTGTTCATGATATAGAAAGGCTGATGTTTGTTGAGGCCAGCCAGCTCATTCAATGTCCGCAAAAACATCGAACAAATGCGTTTTGTTGTGTAAGTGGTGGACGTATGCAGTGACTGCCACGTTCACTTACAGCACGAACCGGAACTTACGCCTTGGCCGCCACCTTCTTGACCAATATCGATACCTTCACGCCCACGTCCTGAAGGACCGCCGCCGCTCCCATCGCCCTTTGGCAGTTTTTTGGCTGCAAATCCCGAATACTCACAAAGAAATTAGGAAGCAACAAAAACAATGAAAAAAAAACCCCCCGAGCGCTCTTTCAAAACTAACCCGCTCCTCAATGCTAAAGTAATTATGGTTACTAACCAATAGCAAGGAAAATGTCGTTTACATTCATTGCAGTTTTCGCCGATGTCTCCATGAACAGTAAAGCATTATCTTCAGCATAAGCTTGTGCTTCCTGCAATTATACCTTTGCATATATGTTGCAAAAGGAAGAAGGAGCGAACACCAAGGAAACGAAGACAGTAGCTAAACCTCCTTCGCTGTGCCCAGTCGCTCTTCGGTTCCCTGTGATATGCAAGTGTCTCGTCTCTTGACTCGAGTTCCCTCTCCGTGATATTTAATGTGCCGATCAGAAATGAACTTAAAATTGTTTTTGATAAATCAAAAAGTGTGCGGCGGCAGCTTGGAGCCACTGCCGCTTCCACTGTTGCTCGTGTCCGGTGGCAGCTTGGAGCTGTTGTCGAGTAATTTCAGGATTTGTCTTTTTTTTTTTTTGATTTGTTTTGCCGTTGTACTAATAAAGAGGTGTTTGAGCGCTTTTCTCGCAACTGTCCAACCTTCTCCTCCTGATCGTTACATATATCTTAAGCAGACCAGTGCAACTGATTAAACCGTGTCAAACACATCAAAAAATTCCAAAAAAAAAAACTTTAGAATTACAACAGTGCGAAAAAAAATTATGTAAAAAGGAAAAATTTTTAATGTTGTAATGAAGGCCAGTGGTAAAGAATGAGGCGATAGAAAGCTCTCAAAGTATCAAAATTACACAAAACGAGTTCAAAGTAACAAAAAGTTACAGCTAAACCGAATGGCAGCTGGATTGTTTCGGGTTTTTCATTGAACAGGTGCCGAGTGAAGGCTGCTTAAAAGCAAAACCCAAGTCGGACTTAGTACTAAACAACTTTTAACAGATTGTAATTTTAATTTCAGATGATGTGTGTCTATGTAAAAAGTAAGGGTTAAAAAGGAATGAAAGGAAGATGAATAAGATAAATGCCTCAATAAATGGTAACTGATGCTGTAGAGACAGACTGGCGAAGTAACATGGCAGATAACAACACTATTCTCATGCTAAAAGTAGGCAACCCTTGGCAAGAAGTGGTTGCCAATGGAATGCAATATCATTTCAGCTACTTCCATGTGTTTCTGCCTCTGCACTGAATGAGTTGTGATAGAATTTTGGCTTGTTCTGTCAAGAGTATGTGCAAATTGCGCTCATGAGGTTTCGTAACGCTTCTAAAAATGTTCGATAAACTGCCGGACAGTAAGCAGATCGGGTGATCACAGAGAAGCGGGTTTTGCATATTTGGTGGATAACCGGGAGAGGGGCAGAGAGGGCAGAGGGAGAGAAGGAGAGGAAGGGGTGGGGGAGGCGAAGCAAGGAGGGAAAGCGGGGGGAAGAGGAAAACTGTATACGATGCTTGGTTCAAGGCATATGGCAAATGTGCTAGATTTTTTTTCAGTTCATTTTTAAGTTATTTCGAAAGCAAGCCTAAATGTTATTACCAATAAGTCGTTGAGATGGGCAAAATGAGGCTGAAAATGGGAAAAAAATAAAAATTTAAAAAATATCTGCAGATGGAATATGATTGGAAAAGTAATGAAACAAAAAGACTAAAACGAAACGGAGAAAAGCAGCGGAAGGTAGGAAGTGAGATAGCAGCCCAAAGCTCGCGAAACCTTGGCGGTGTTGTATTTCGTGTCAGACTAAGTTCAAGAACTCCACACTAATAGTTTGAGCGATCCTTCGTTGTGGCAGGGGTAACTACAAGTCTCCGAAAGAGATGCTTGTTTGGCAAAAAAAAAAGATAAAGAAATGACCTCATATTCGACAACTCGCTTGTTGGCAAGATCGGCCTTATTTCCGGATAACGCGATGACGATGTTTGGACTGGCTTGCCGCTGCAACTCTTTCACCCAATTTTTCGCCTTTGCAAACGATTCCTGCAAAACGAAACACGAATCGAGGATCGCATTGTGAACCCACATTCCTTTTTTCATTGCTGTAAAACAGTGAGCTTCTGCTGTGGGGCAAAGACTGGATAAACTGTGGCTCACACAGATAACATTACTCGCGGCGCAAGGAGAGATGTTATCAGGGCAAACGGAAAAGAGAAGTTGAACTAATCGTGTGGCACGAACGACACAAAACACATGCACCAAGCAGATTATCCAAAACTATCCACGCAATGCTGCAAAAAATAAATAGTAACGCGCACCAGACTAGCCGGTGCGACCATGA